TGGAAAATGGCAGGGCTAACATGGGAAAAGGAACCGCCTGCAATACGGGTGGCGTTGAGCCAACTGATTGTGAAATAAGGGTTAGGGTTAAGGTAAAGGTTACGGTTAAGTTAAGGACTAGGGTTAAGGTTAGATCTAGAGGTAACGGTAATGTAATTGAGGGTCAAGGTTAGAGGTAAGGTAGGGGTTAGTGTCAATTGTAGAGTTAAAGATTAGTGTAGGGTTAGAATCAAGGTAGGGGCAACGATTAAGTTTTAAATTACGGTTTTTATTGGGGTTAAGGAATGGGAATATTTTACCCTTTCCGGAATTGTGCACAGGTCCACCGTTGTTACTTGGGCAGGGTGTACCTATTTCATACCCTGTTTAGGGACAACATAAATCAGTCCTAACGTGTTTTTTTATTTTAAACAGACAGTGGGCATCTAAATTCAATCCCACATTTATTGCTTAGGAGTTCTACAATCCATTCAATGACTGGTACATGCGACTGCGCATTAATATCGCACGATACATGGGAATCCCCAACTCGAAAAATATTTCTTCTTTTAACTGCCATTCAATTACGAATTATAACAATGGCCATGGTTAAATAAATTAACATTTGTCCTTGGAATTTCTCCAGGTTGGAGGAAAATAATATTTGAAAAATGGGGATTTTTTCAGACATACTTTTGTGCGGCTGTTATGTATTTTTCGCCCCGAACGCAGTGAATTTGTGAGTACACGACAACAGCCATGTAAATTATACTGTCCCATGAATTGCAGTCTTCTGAACCGAACTAAATATCTCAGCTAATTTGATTGGTTTTACCTAATAGTTCGTCGTTATACAAACGGAATGCTCTGTACAATCTATTGTTGGAGTGCGTCTTCGGTAGATTCCAATGACTACTGATGAATTACATCTATCGGAGCGATGTCGTTTTAGATACTATGAAGTTTAACACTAGCGTAAATGTGCTAACTCATGAAATGCTAACGGATATTCTGAAATCCGTTTTTGTTCCGAAAAGGTTACTTAAAAGATTACTTAAAATCAACCATCGTGCGGCATCATTTTATAATAATTCAATTACTGCCAGAGGCCAGCTTTCGAACAAACTTCTTCTCCACCTCATGCAGGAACCACACTCTGTAAAAAATGACTACTTATATAGCATGAATGCTTCTCATTGATTTTCGATGCTTTTGAACATTCGCCCATATTTCGCGGATAACACGCAAAAAATACTCATTCTTTTGGTCATTTGGCAGAAAATTACGTCTTCTCCAATTTTACATTCGAAAAAATGGTAAAATTCGGTTTTCGAAACTTCTTCTAATTTCCGAATAATTTTGAACCCGATTTGCCGTTACATTTGCGTTCAAGGTTTCCAAACTACAAGCCGTATGTTTTCATCGTACGGAATATCATACATTTTTCTACGGCATTAAGAGTAGATCATATGGGGTTCATAAAATTTAGCAGTGGGTTTGAGCGATATTGTAAACTTTACAAGCAACTTTAATAAATGCAAGGTCATGATGTTTTCTGAACAAATATTTCACGCTATTAAAAAATTTCGTAATTAGAATCATTTTTAAAACCAAATAATACCCTTATTTTGAGTATAAAATTGGAAAAGGACGCAAATTTCTACCGAATGAGTAAAAGAATGAATATTTTTTAATGTTTTCCATGAAATATAATTTAATATTTAAAGGCAGCGATAAGCAAGGAGAAAAATGCATGCTACTTAAGTAGTCATTTTTTACGGAGTGTAGTTTATGGATGCAGTCCGAAAGAAGTTCTTTCGAAAGCCAGCATGACGAGGTGACTGAATTATTGTAGACTGTTGCTAAAAGATTAGTATTGCAACCCTACTTAATTAATCATTTCGAAACGAAAACGCATTTCGGACTTTCGTCTGACATTTCATGACTTAGCAAACCTACTGTAAGTGTCAACTCACAGCAGTGCTGAACGACATGAAGTCGGTCTCGCGGCACACATGTGTCTGCAAGTGCAAACAGCTGCACTACTTCAAAAAAGCAACCAACGGAGTCATATGATTAGGTGACAAGCCGAAGTTAGCAGTATGGGTCATTAAAACTACTTTGACCATTCTCTCACCAAAGGCCACGGCCTTATTTAAAAAATGCTCGTTACTTCAATTAGTATTATTTCTTAGTTAAGCGTCATTGAAGAGTCATGCGGCGCAACTGGTATACGGACGGAAATGCGGACGAAATTTCTCATATCGTGCACATTCGCCTGCCTAATTCGATTTCATTAATTAATTTAGAGAGCCTGGCGGTCATCTGATGGATTCGCAATTGATTGCTGAGGAAATCCTGTTTGGGCTGTCAGTATACTCTATCAGCATTGGTGGATTCCATACTTTGCAGTAGGATGGGTGGGAAACTTAACGTAGATGTGACTAAACTCACGGCTCCCTTAGCTCATATTGCCATGACCCCGTTGTCCAGGGCTCGAATCCAACCAAGACAACCGAGTTATTCACATTTGGGTCAATTTCAAGGCACAAACAGACCGACGTTGGGACATTGAAGTTGATTCAGGCAATTTATTTTTACTTTTGCTCACGATGCAACTGTAGTCGCTGGCATTTTCTAAAACTCAAGCCCTGGAAACTGGAGTAAAAAGGGTAATCTTGACTGAAGTGCTCGCGACCCGTTCTGAGATATTCTTCACCGATGCTTTTGCAGTTGCATTACTGCTCCCGAAATGGCAAATATGCAAATATGAATATTGCCTGCTGTTCAACTTGGCGCAAACTACCTACACCTCTACAAATGTTTACTTATGTCATCGGAGATATAGGCATGCAAATGAATATTGTCGACTTTTTAAGGTTTCTTTAAACCCGACAACATTTATGATCCTTTTGGAGTACCGAGGGTCATTCAGAAGAATGGTTGCAATATAGTTTTCGATAAAAACCCGGCTCCTTTCAACTATTCCACGACAGAACGTGCGTCCTGTTGACGTTATCATGTTTACGTGTCTCAGTTTTTGTTGTGAGCACGCTCAAACTTTGATTTAATTTGCTTATACAAAGCGACAACGCCTTAGCCATTTGATTACTATATGGAAAAGACCCTGCAAAGTACTGAAATAGAATTTCATCCTCGGACAATTGATCGCAAGCAAAAAAGGTACTCGTAACGCGATCATCTTCTCATTTGAACACGTCTGCAGGCGTGCCTGTCTCCAGTAGGAATGTAAATCCCGCACTGTTTTGGCAAGCCGTCTGTTTCTCCCTACAACGAAAAATCGGTCACACCCGATGCGGAGGCTTAGAGATGGCAAAAAACTGTATTACATTTTTAAGGTAGGCAACTTCTTTCCACGCTGTTTAACTGTTTTAACAAAGAAAGCGTTTTGTAATCGCCCGAAATTTAACTAAATTATTGAAATTGTCAAAGGTCTGCATATTGCCTTGTTTTGAAACGCAGCTACTTGTCGGGGAGGAGAGATACCACTTAATCTGCGGCTGATCTCATGAAATGTTAACAGAAATTCTGAAATGCGGTTTGGATTAGGGAAGAAGGTCAGATATGGTTATGCGGCCGTACCTGAGGTAAACACCCCCCCCCCCCGGTAATACGGGATCGGTGATGATAGGGGGTTTTTAGAAGTGCGGCCGGGGAACGCACAGGCGACGAGGTCAACTAATTGTATGCAAAAGAAAAGCCATTCAGAATGCGCGCTTGTACTTTGATTGGTTGAAAAATAGTCGCCCTAACCCCTGACTCTAACCCCTAACCCTAATCCTTAACCCTAACCCCGAACAGTATTGTGTCTATCAGGTGCGACTGCATAAACACATCTTAACGGGAAGATTACTGAGGTGAGTTTGTAACATTGATTTCCATGCGGTAATTCAATGATCTTCCAGACACACCAGAGTATTGAATTTTAATGGCGTTCTTTTCGACTGCCTGCGGAAAACGCGCTCGGAAACAAATGACTTCTAAAGTAATATGCATGGCTCCCATTGATTTTCGATGCCCTAATATATTCAGATATATTTTAAAGAAAACATACACAAAATTGTTTATCCTTGTGCATGCTTGGTTGCAAACCACGTCTATGTTAAGTTTTACTTTTGAAAAAAATGAATTTTCCGTTTTAGGCAAGTTTGCAGTCATTAAACTTTTAAGACCGTGAAAATCCCATTTGTACAGCACCGTATCTGTACGTTCAGTAATGCTGCATATGAACTAAACAGCATAGTCCACATCCATCACGAATTTTTTTGAGCCTTATAGGATATCTCCCTAGCGTATTAGAGGGATGTATGATTTTCTCTTTAAGGAAAGTAAGCAGCTTGTGAACTCCTAAACGTAAATGCAATGGCAAATAGGGTTAAAGGACTATTCGGGAATTTAAAAACCTTTTTTGAAACCTAAGGATGTCATTTGTTCGGATGTCAGATTTTGTGAAGACATGATTTAGTGACAAATAAGTACAATATAGTACTTTCGGGCATGTTTTCAAAAAATATATCTGAATTTATAAAGGCATCGAAAATCAATTGAAAACATGCAAACTAAATAAGTGGTAATTTTTTTTCGAGTGTGTTTTTTTCAGCAGACGGAAAAGCAGTGCATTTGAAGCCAACATCCTGACATATCTGGAATATTATGGAAGTAGGTCGCATGACAGTCAATATAACAATCCTACTTAGGTTATCTTCCCTAATTAAAGTCACATTTTAGAATTTCTGTTAATTTTTCCGGCCACTGAATGTACCTGCAACTATCCTTATTATGTCTCACCGTATTTTCTGCATGCAGATCTTCTTTTGGCATTGATTAGACTCTCGCTTCATCTAGGGGCACTGAAAGCAAGTGTATTTATGAAGACAGCTAATCCTAGGAAAGCAACGATCCCCATAAGGCAATGCAGGGTGCCTTTCGTCTAGCTCAGCTTCCCCGTCGAAATAAGTCCAACTAGAACATTTGACTTTGGACGTGTACTGGTAGACCTGATGGTACGCCTAGGTGCGGGTCCGGCCTTGCCAGCCACCTGCGCCCTCGCCCGCTTCCAGTCTATTTTGACCCTGGACCTAGGTGGAAGAGCAGGAGGGAGTGAGGTAGATGCTGGGCAAGTCGACCATCACTATTTGAGAACCCATTCGCAAGTCACCGTGCCTGCTTTCACCCTGATGTGGACCTCGTCAGTTACGACGCCCAGAAGATGCGTAGGCACACTTTAAGTGGAACGGACTCACACACACATACTTACGAATTAAACATTGCCCACTGATGCCTCCTCCCTGTACCTGAGCTTGGGTTCCTAAACTCTAACCCTGGCCACATGGCGACACGGGACAGAGAGAGAGAGAGGTTGTGCACGCACAGGCAGTTCGGGCTCTTGTTTCATGACTTGGCATGAACGTGAGTTTGTTGTCAAGGCGATTTGGAGGTCAGCAACGGATGACTCCTGTGCAAGCGGTAAAAAGGTCACCGCTTCATTCTGTTTTAATCCACACATGTAGGACCGTCAGTTTCATTGTAACAAGAAGTTATTTTCAAGTTTCAATAACAAGTATTTTGTAAAACATGTCTGAGTGAATAGCTGGTAAAATTAGTTGACGCAAGGCATGTTACCCTCTAAGGAGCGGCTGAGAAGGCATAGCATCCGTGCCAGCACCAGTCCCGCTCAGCGCCTTCTAGCCACACGGGGCTTTGAGGGGCTGTGGCGGGGACAGACGAGGTTATTTGGCCCCCTCTCCCCCTCCCCTACCGAAAAAAATGCCTGATGGGGCGTCGTCTTTTGCCAGTTTTTGGTTCCATCCGGTTCCGTCTTTGATACCGAAGCCGTTGCCAGAAGTGTAGTTCTCGCAAACCATTGACTAACATGTTGGCTTCAAATGGGGCAAATCGACCTCCCACACGTCCAAGCAAGGGTAGTACCGCACGATTAATAACACAAGCAATTTACTGTCGACGCAGAACCCACTCCGGCGACATAAGAGAGTTGATAGGAAATAGTGAAGAAGGATTGTAGGAATCTTTTAAATACTTTACTACATGATATTCTGATTGATGGATGTTTCGAGGGTATGGGAGGCACTCGAGCAGGGGTGGTGGATCGCATCACGCTGTTGGGAGTGCCTACACTCCCAAAAACAAGAGCAAACCAATCAATGGAGATCACGTGCGTTTGCTCTCTCTCTCTACCGCGCTGTCATCAATCAGGCGCTTTCCCATTGGCTACTCCCCTCTTCCCGAAGGTCATTGGACCGAGTGCCGGCGAACCACGCTAGCGTGTGATAAATATGCGTCACCCTTAGCTAGACATGACTTGTTAATACGTGTTTGCTAATACACGTTCCGTGGCCAGCCGTGTGTTCTTTGTCTGCTGCCTTGATTGGGAACCAGGGTCGAGTGCGCATACGCTCCACGGAATTTCAAGTACCAGGCGGGTCATAACAAATTGGCGACGCAGTTTCTCAACTACGATGGCTGACGAGTACGCAGACTTGAAGCAGATGTTGCAGCAGCAGCTGAAGCTGATGGACGCACTCACCGCCAAGCTATCCAATTCATCTATGGGCCAATGAAGCGCGGCTGGTGGTTCACAATCTGTTGATCACATTGCCGGCAGCATCACCGAATTCTTGTATGATCCGCAGGCCCATATCACCTTTGATTCCTGGTACAAGCGATACGAGGACTTGTTCTCTGTCGATCTGGCTGCCCAGGACGATGCATGGAAGGTCCGACTTCTACTTCGCAAACTGGGTCCGGCTGAACACGAGCGTTATGCAAACTTCATCCTTCCCAAGAATCCCCGGGAAGTCGCTTTCAAGGACACGGTTCGGACGTTGTTGCAGATTTTTGGTGAGCAATCATCCCTCTTCAACACTCGATTTCAGTGCCTGCAACTGTGCAAACGAGATTCCGATGATTTCATCACGTACTCGGGCATTGTTAATCGTGAGTGTGGGCGTTTCCAACTCGGTTCTCTCACTGAAGACCAGTTTAAGTGCCTTATATTTATCTGCGGCCTCCAGTCCCCCAAGGATGCTGATATCCGGACACGTCTCCTGTCCAAAGTGCAGCAGAACAACTCTACCACACTCCAAGAGCTGGCAGCAGAGTGCCAAACGCTGATCAATCTCAAGCACGACTCTGTAATGATTCAGAACCCGGCCTCATCTTTCTCAGTCCATACGGTCACATCGACCAAATCGCATCCTGTTACACGGCCCAAGCAAGTGTCCAAGTCGAGATCTCCGCCATCTCCTTGTCGGCACTGTGGCGCGTGGCATTTCCACCGGGATTGCACTTTCCGCCAGCATCGCTGCCAAAGCTGTAATCAGGTGGGACACCGTGATGGGTTCTGCAAATCATTACCAGCTTCTGGAGGCAAGCCAGCCCCCGCCACTCCTAATTCCAGGCACCGTTTCCGGCCAAAACGCAAGCCCAAACCCCAGTCCGTGGGTAATTCTCTCAGTCTTTTGGCCGCTTTCCAGCTCAATGCGTCTGGTCGTAGAAAATTTGTTGATGTCTTGCTCAATGGCCATGCAGTTCGTCTACAGCTGGACACTGCCTCAGATATCACCATCATCTCTGAGAGACTCTGACAGTCCCTTGGCAGCCCAACGATGCAGCAGACTTCTCAGTCCGCCACAAGCGCGTGCGGTGGTCTCGTACAGCTAATTGGGCAGCTGCAATGCTGTGTGTCGTTCCGCGGTACCAGCATCACTGCGATCTGCTGCATCACCAAGTCTGATCTAAACCTACTTGGTCTCGACTGGATTGAACAACTTGGGTTGGCCGATATGCCGCTCCGCGTTGTTTGCAGTCAGGTGCAGATTCCCGCTGTGCTTGCAGATCAAGCCAAGGACATTCTCCGACGGTTTGCTCCAGTGTTCCAAGACGGCCTGGGTCGTTGCACATACACTCAAACCGTGCTACATCTGTCTCCTGGAAGTCAACCAGTCTTCCGTCCAAAGCGACCAGTCCCATATGCAGCCCTACCACTTGTCGAGGCTGAACTGAAACGTCTAGAGGAACTGGGAGTTCTGGTTCCTGTATCCTACTCCGCCTGGGCCGCTCCAATCGTTGTGGTTAAGAAGCCCAATAGCTCGGTCCGCATTTGTGCTGACTTCTCCACCGGTCTCAATGCCGCGCTGACGCCGAACTGCTATCCACTACCGGTTCCGGCTGATCTTTTCACCCTGCTGAATGGTGGCACTTGCCTTGCCAAGTTGGATCTCGCCGATGCGTATCTGCAGATCGAGGTCGCCCCAGAGTCGCGCGAATTGTTGACCATCAACACCCACCGCGGTCTGTTCCAATACACCAGGCTACCCTTTGGTGTCAAGACCACCCCGGCCCTATTCCAACAAACGATGAACGCAATGCTCTCCGGCATCCCTGGCACAGCTGGGTACCTGGACGACATCATCATCGTGGGTCGCTCCCCTGCCGAGCTGCAAGACCGAGTGTGCGCAGTACTCGAACGCGTGCAGGAATATGGCTTTCGCCTACGGGCCGATAAGTGCCAATTCTTCCTCGACTCCATCAAGTACCTTGGATTCGTTTTTGACGTCAATGGTCGCCATCCAGATCCTGAAAACATTTGGGCCATCCAGCAGATGCCTGCCCCCAAGAATGTATCGCAACTTCGTTCGTTCCTTGGCCTGATCAGCTACTATAGCGCCTTCCTACCATCGCTGCATGACGTACGGGCCCCGCTCAACCGTCTGTTGCAGAAGGATGCTTCCTGGTGCTGGTCCCCCGACTGTGAAAAGGCCTTCGCCCAGCTAAAGTCGATGCTGAGTTCAGATCTGCTGCTCACGCACTACGACCCGACGCTGCAGATCGTTGTTGCTGCAGATGCTTCCAACCACGGAGTTGGTGCCGTCATCTCACATACTTTTCCTGATGGGTCTGAAAAGGCGATCATGCATGCATCTCGCACGTTAACCCCTGCGGAGAAAAACTATGGGCAAATAGAGAAAGAGGCTCTAGCCCTCGTGTTTGCTGTCAAGAAATTTCACAAACTATTGTACGGTCGCCACTTCACGTTGTTGACGGATCACAAACCGTTGCTGTCAATCTTCGGTTCGAAGAAGGGCATTCCCGTCTACTCAGCCAGCCGACTTCAGCGATGGGCAACCATCCTTCTTGGCTACGATTTCGACATTCGCTACTGTCGTACTACAGACTTTGGTCAGGCTGACGCCCTTTCTCGCCTCATCAGCAATCAGCAGGAACCGGAGGAAGATACCGTGATTGCAGCTATTTCGATTGAGGACGATGTGCGCCGTCAGCTATCAGACGCCATACGAGGTATCCCCGTCACTGCCGCGGACATCCGACGTGCTACTGAACAGGACCCTGTCCTCCGCCAGGCCATCACCTACGTGCAGACCTGCTGGCCAACCACTGCTCTCGCTGGCGATCTTCGCCAGCTCTTCCTCCGCCGAGCATCGCTATCTGTGGTTGACTCCTGCCTCATGTTTGCAGACCGTGTGGTGATCCCATCTTCCCTCCGACCCACTGTACTACGCCAGCTCCATGCGGCTCATCCTGGTACCAGCCGAATGAAGTCTATTGCTCGCAGTTTTGCCTACCGGCCGGGTATGGACGGCGACATCGACGACCTGGTTCGACGCTGTTCTCGATGTCAGCAAGCTGCCAAGATGCCGCCTCGTCAACCGCCAGTACCCTGGGAACCACCAGAGAGGCCTTGGTCACGCGTGCACATCGACTTCGCTGGCCCACTTAACGGAGTCTCCTACCTAATCTTGTTTGACGCCTACTCGAAATGGCCCGAGATTGCTCCGCTGAATCCAGCAACCGCATCTTCCACTATCGCCTTCCTACGACGCATCTTTAGCCAACATGGCTTACCAGAAGTCATGGTTTCAGATAATGGCTCTCAGTTTACTTCGTCGTCGTTTGAGGATTTCTGCCGCCAGCACAACATCCAGCATCTTCGCTCCCCGCCCTACCATCCTCAGTCTAACGGTCAGGCGGAACGTTTTGTCGACACGTTTAAGAGAGCCCTCTTGAAAGCTCGTGGGGAGGGGACCACGGACGAGATAGTCCAGGCATTCCTGTTTTCCTACAGGACAACACCGAACCCGGCGTCCCCTGGTGGCGTTTCTCCTGCCGAAGCGTTGATGGGCCGAAAACTGCGTACAACTTTTCACGCCCTCGTCCCTACCGGTGCGCAGCCTGCGCAGACTTCTCCAGTCTCTCGCAGCAAGCTCTCCATCGGAACGCCTGTCTTCGCCCGTGATTATCGAGCGGAGTTCCCAGACTGGATTGAAGCAACCGTGGTAGCGCACAGAGGCAGTATGTTGTTTGACGTCGACGTTTTTGGTGAAATCTGAGTTCGTCACCACAACCAGATCCGACGGCGACATTACAGTAACACAACTGGGCTCGATCCGGCGCCGTCACTCCCCCTTGACATCCTACTGGATACCTTCGCCATTCCGGCAGATCGGTCGGTTCCCGAACCCACTGCTGCGCCTCCTGCGGATGTACCGCCTTCGATATCAGTCACTGCCCCCGGGTCTCCAGACAACAAACCACAACTAAGACGCCGAACCAACCGCGTTCGCCGATCAACAGTGCCGATGCAGATCAATCCACGCCAAAAGCGGTACTGACCCACTTGGAGGGGAGGTGTTGGGAGTGCCTACACTCCCAAAAACAAGAGCAAACCAATCAATGGAGATCACGTGCGTTTGCTCTCTCTCTCTACCGCGCTGTCATCAATCAGGCGCTTTCCCATTGGCTACTCCCCTCTTCCCGAAGGTCATTGGACCGAGTGCCGGCGAACCACGCTAGCGTGTGATAAATATGCGTCACCCTTAGCTAGACATGACTTGTTAATACGTGTTTGCTAATACACGTTCCGTGGCCAGCCGTGTGTTCTTTGTCTGCTGCCTTGATTGGGAACCAGGGTCGAGTGCGCATACGCTCCACGGAATTTCAAGTACCAGGCGGGTCATAACACACGCAAATGGTGACTGCAACTCATGAACCTTAATTGGCATACAACCCACCGGAACTATGCTCTGCCTAGCGGCCACGCCCCGCTAACCGTCTAGACATGCAGGCTAAACGAGATGAGGGTGACCGATGTTGTGTGTATGGCCACACTCGGTAATTCTGCTCCCACCCTCATCCTCCCCCCTACCTCCACTCCATCCAAAGCCCATTCTTGCACACTGCCACCGAAGCTCATCCATCCATTCTATGGAGAGAGTGACAGGCAATCCCGTAGGCGACCCAGACTCGAGTCGTGCACCACTAAACCAAGTCGTGACCAGTAGTGGAGTTCGGTAGCCCTCGGAGTGGCCCTATTTGGGAACAGCAATGTTTCCCTCCTCGCAATAGAAAGGGCTAGAAAATCGGCCCAAAACGAATGCTGGGATGACGTCATCTGCATGCATACCAGGGCTGGCAGGAAGCGAAACTGATAAATACATGCGAAACCTGAGTTGCCTATTACGTAGGGTGTATTTGTGTAGACGCCTACCAGGCAGGTTTCTTCGCAAAATTCGTCCAGCCATTCGTCATTCGTGGAGGACAAACCAACAGGTCCCTATCCCAAGGATTGGGGCATAGGGATGTCTAGTTGTGGATCCATTTGACGGTCGTAGTAGGTCGCTGACTTGCCTGCAGGCGTTGACAATGCCTGGCGTCCGTTAACCGGCACCCAACTCTCCTTGAAGCTAGGCTTTGCTTAGCGGCCACACTTCGGTAAACGCCTCTACGGATGTTCTAAACCCTCCGACCCACCACAGAGGCTGTTAGTGAGTCCGCTGACTCTGGCAGCCCTGAATGTTCGTTCCCTTTTAGACAATCTGAGCTGAAACCGACCGGGACGGAGGACAGCGCTACTCGCTCGAGAACTGGTGCGCTGAAAAGGTGGACATTGCTGCTCTTTGTGAGACTCGCTTCACCGAACAAGGCCAACTGGAGGAGATGGGTGCCGGCTACACCTTCTTCCGGAGCGGGCGCCCCAAGCCAGAAGGACGAAACTCGGGCATCGCCTTTGCCATCCGAACCGACTGGCTGACTACGTTATAATATAGTTACTGAAACGATTTGAGTAGCCAGGTTTGGGGCGATTCGAATTTCCTTGCCGGTTATGGTCAAGTGTCTTTGCTTGTTTCTCTGCCAGTTGGACCGCACAACCATTTGTCCCGGATTGGTCTTATGCCAGTGACAAATAAATCTGCACTTTCCTCTCCAAGGAACACAGTCCACACATGACCTACTCAATTACCAGAAGCAGCGCCAATAACGCCGGATACCTCGAATGCTGATTCAAATTCAGTAGAGGCTGGGGGAGATGGAGAACAGCTGGCTGACTCTCAAAGTTGAGGAGATTCAGGGGCGTGGCGATCGCCGGTCCAC